ATATTCGTTTTATTTCTCATTTAAAAATACAACTTACTCTTCCAAATAGGAAATATTAGTGAGAAATAATTCATTTCTGTTGTAATTTTAAGGTTACAACCTCGACATGCATTATTCATAGTGCCCATAAAATCGTACTCCGATAAAATGCCTACCTTCCATGAAATGTCGAATAAGTGTGACATTATAATGCACCGTAAACGTAAAAATATTGTAATAAATTCAGTTTATATGTTAATCGCTTAAAGCCGAAACAATATTTGTGAGATATTCGGGGTTAATGTTTACTTTTTATAACTTGCAAGCTGTGATCTCCGGCACACAAAGTCTTATAATGGTCGGTCACTTTTATCACATTTATAGCAGTTTTATATATATAGTAAAGAAATTGATACATTTTTTGACCTTCAATTAATTATTATGTATAATGCACAAAATTCATTCTCTAATCGACAAGTAAACACACATTTCAAAAAACTTGTTTATATTATAACTTCAAAATGAAAGTGCACACGAACAATTTGATGACACTGTCTGTCTTATTAACACTGCAAAACCCTGAAACATTGTGTAGTATAACAACCCTAGGTTCGACAAAAAATAAGTAAACGTAGTTGTGGCCAAAAATATGTGATCGTCATAAGGACTACCTACGTTGTGTGTATCTATTTTTAATTGACCGGAAGGCACTGGCTACTAACTTTGTAGAGGAGATGTATGGTTTAATTATATAAAACAAAAGCAGAGTAAATACACCTAACCTTTATTTACATACAATTCAAATTAAACATGTGACAAATAGAAAGAACAACAAAAACATTAACAACCATTAAACATAAAAGGAGAGTGCCAGGCTCACCTAGAGCTCCTGTGGGGAAAGAGCATGGCAGAGAAACCCACGATCTTTGCTCTTACCACCCCAAATATAAATACAAAACAACCGCTAACCAAAGGCATACATTAAGAACCTTTGCTAATGATCATCAAAACTGGACTTATTTAATTTCTCACTAAATGTCATCTTACTCAAGTCTGACATATACACTTCCAAGTAAAACTGAAGAGGTTTTAGTAACAATAATAGCAACAACAATAATAATAATAATAATAGCAATAATAATAGGGAAGGTACTGGAGTCCCATAATACGGGAGGCTATCCAGCTAAAGTTGAGATTTCGGGAGAACAACAACAATAATAACAATAATAATAATCATGGGTGAAAATGTTAGTAAATTCAACAAAGCTCTTACATACGTATGACATAAAGTGAGCACAAGAAATCAAAGAACAACGTAATCAAGGTAAAACAAGTTAAATGTGAAACAAAGAAGTTGTTTTGCAATATCTGGGCAGACACGACAATATATACATATTTCAACATGTAACAAATAATGAACAATCTCCAATAATAATTGTAACAATTTTATCTTGGAAAAATATACGCCCCTGAGCATAAGACAATAAAGGCTAAACATACACAGAATTATTATCATGAAACATCTAGGTTTTTCGAATAACGTTATCATGACAAAAACAAGTTAAATGTGAAACAAAGAAGTCGTTATTGTAATGGCGGGCAATCAGGACAATATATATATTTTTAACATGAAATAAATAATGGAGCAATCTTTAAGTATAATTATAACAATTTTACCTTAGAAAAATATATGCCCTTGAGCATAAAGCAATGGAAGCTAAACATACAAAGAATTATTATCATGAAACATCTATAATCATCACAATCATAAGATTATATAGAACAATTAACAACAAAGTACTTAAAGAATATTACCTGCTACCGAATCCCAGTTAAATACGTTTATTGTTACACTACTTCTATCGTTTTTCACACTACACCCACGGTCTTACTTTTCACTACTCGCGGCACTCACTTCAACTGCCAGTCTTCAACTCTCTAGGCTTCCTTCCAGAATTTCCTACCTAAGTGCCTGTTTTTTGTGCTTCCTTCTATCGACCGTTAATATTACTTTTTCACTGTTATACAACACCTATGTAACAGGTGACGTCGAAGTTGATAAGATAAGTACGGTTTTGCACAATTGTAATTTAAACTTTTTTTGCAAAATAAATAGCAACGGAGCTACACGCATCTGAAGGAATTGACTGAATTCGAATTTTTCCATATATCGAATTAGCTATGACGTTTTTTCAAAAAATAGAAGTAACATTTAATAATAATAATAAAACTGCACCTCTTTCATCATTTAAATTTTTTTGTATCTCTGTTACTTTCCCAGATCCCTACAATAATCATCGAAAAAACTCACCCTGTATATAATATATAATAATATAATATGTAGAAATGAATATTCGATCTTGATTCAATGCAAAAAATTAAAAATTAAAAAAATAACAAATTTCAAAGAATTTTCAAAATTGTCGAAAAAAATTTTCCAAATTTTTTTTTCTTTAGATTTTCGAATATGTTTACGGTAGCTTAGCGTAGTAGGTTGACAAGCCTAAGTATTTAAAATATATGGAGGTGTCGAGGGGAACCTAAGTTTATTTATTTATTTAGGAAGCAATCGTATTCAAAGCGATATATTCAAATTTTGTGAAAATCTGCAGGTGTCTGCGGTGTGGCAATGGCACAGCTCCCATTCGCATTATACATTTATATTATACGGCTTACATTCGGTCCGCTCGGGAATTCCTCAAACAAGATGCACGCCCAGATTCACCTATTGGAAACAGATAAGGAGACTTTTAAACCCAGGGAAACTTTAAGTTGGACTTATCCTACCGTGATATTTGCCAAAATTATTCTTCGCACATAGGCGCCGTGTGTGAATTTGAAATATATAAAAAGTTACCTCTACCGAGATAAAAAATAAACTATAAAAAAGGGTGACAAAATTTCTTATATTATTTTAAAGTTTTATCAAATTGCCAGCAAAATAGCCTTTTTCCTTTGAAATTGGAGACACTAGTTCTAGAGAGATAACGAATTAAAAAGAAACAAAAATTGATTGTTTTCGAATTTATTAAATGCTACAATTTCGATATTTTTTAGAGATTGTTTTTATTCCATAACATAAAATTTGACACTTTAATATTTAAAGAGTATGTTACACATTATATGGTAGTCTGTGATATTATATGGCATTATATGGTATTCTATGGTGATCTACACTTTTCTATGGTATTTTATGGTAGTTTATGGTTTAGCTTGTGGTTTTTCACGATTTTTATTATAAAAATTGAGGTCAATTAACGTGTAGCGAGTTACAAATTTAGAGGATTGCCTAATACCTTGACCAACTTATACGATTGAGTGAAAATAAGCAATTTTAGTAATTTTTCAAAGTGCAATCCTACAGTCAAATCAGTGCAAAGTCAATGTTTACCTAAACAAACTACTAAAGTTGGATGGTGGTCTGTAGTTTGACATTTTATTTAATTCGTTTTTAATTTTAATTGTGAGCTTTAATAAAACTGAAACTGAAACCACATTCAGTTCTTCATGTTGGTTTGGATAACACGATTAATGATATTTTTAATTTTCAAATTATTCCCAATGGGATCCTTCCACCAAGCTGTGTCTTCAAATATGTGAACAGTCGGTTCTCCATCAAAACGGGAGAAACTTTAAATTACGCCGAATTATAATGTAGGGCGCCACTGCCGAGCCAAAGTTATTTAATCTTCCATTGGCCAGGGCCGAAGACTATATTAGCGTGACGGAAATTTATTAATGGATTTCGGATTCCCTTATAGGAAATTTAAATATTATTAAGTTACAGCCCTATCCTTAAAAACAAAGAAAATCCACTCCGATGTATTCTTGAAGCGCATGGGTTTAATTTTTCGTTTTTCTAAAAATGTACCTAGAAGCAACTTCGCAAAGATTTATTAAATCGTATTCGTAGAATGAAAAACTAAGTACCTACATATATCTTTTACATTTTGGTACATGTAAGACTTAACATAAATTCGAGAGAAAACTGTTAATTTTTTTTTGTCCTCAAACCTCACTAATCGTAAGTATAACCTTGATAACTACAGACCTTCGAAGATACCAAAATCTAAGGAATGACCTTAACAATGCTACAAAGATAATTCTCTATTTACAAGTATAAACACACAAAAACTAACGAAAATGCGGTACTGCATTTTTGTTTTTTTTTTTGTGTGTTTATAATAGTAAATGACAAATATACACACTGTTTTTTAAACACAAATGTACACAACAGATACTGGCGTACTGCTTCTTAACCCACACATACGTGTTTACCGAAATACACAATACACAACCTCCAATTTAGCAACCTCGCAGTGTCCAGTTCAAATAGCGATCACGAAATGACAGATAAAAGGTTTTTTGCCTCAAACAATTTTTGCCTAACCATTCACATTGAGAAAAAAAAACACTCATCAGTTTGTTTATGTTTTTTTTTGGTTTTCAAAACTGAAACAGGTTTTTTAGTAAGTTCGACAGTTTATATTTTATGTTGTATGGCTATCTGTAGGAGATTTTCTCAAGAGACAATATTTTTTTAAAATAAAACGACCTTTTCAATGTTGCTGCCCGTTTTAAAAACATATGACCACTGTAAAAGATTTGACCGCTAAAAGGGAGAGGTAACCGGAGAAAACTATCATCCAGTACATCGATTTGACTAAAGCTTTAAGAAATAATATGCCATAATAGTCCAAATAAATAAGCCAAATTTTAACGTTATGAAGTTATTAATTAAATTAGTTCTATTTTTTACAACTTTGAAGGTTTGTGTAACTCAAAAACCAAAAAGTTTTTATTTAATTTTTTTTTTGTAGATCGTCGTGAATATACAGTTAAACGTTGTCGGTGAAATTTGCGGATGCCCTGTATGTATTTATTTAGTTATAGAATGGATGAAAAGGAATAAAGAAGATGTATAGTTTATTAAAAAATAATGATTAAAAAAGTAGAACTCCAAAATCTTTAAGACTTACGTATAACATTTTACGGAATATAAAAAATATTTAATAACTCACCTAAAGCAGTCACAAAGCCCATTACCAGCAGTAATACGTACATAGTTTTCATCATGTTTCTTGTCTCATGGTTCGTCTTCCCTTGCAAACAATAAATTGTTATCGCAACACAAAAGGCGTTACTTGAATGTGAAAATCCGAGGGAAATCCTGAATTTGAAGATAACAATAAGAAACTCTCGCGCACACAAAATCAGTTGAAAACAATATTAGGCGTGCGCAGGGGTTAAGTTTAAAATCGCCCCGATTTTGTTCTGAAAAACACAGTTACTTATCCCAAAATTTAATAAACGTTTAACGAACTTGACAACTTAAAATAAATGTTTACAAAAAGACAAGGTTACACTTAACCTCTACAACTGAACGTTCTACAAAAATTCAACTACAACTTTAAATTGTTAACCTACCTCAAAAATAAATGAAAAAAAAGATAATTCTGTAACGAAAATTCACATATTTACTTCGTATTTTATTCTTTAACGCGGATTATTACAAAAGGGTTACGAGTGACAAGTACGTAAACAAATCTTAGATAGATTTGCGCACTTAGCGACATCTAGTCATCGAAAACTGAATGAACATCGCACGAATACAGCTTACTTGACGGGGTACAACAAACTTACGGCATTTCGAGGCAGGTGGCCAAAGTGGCGGCAAACCGCCCGTTTGAAAGATTGGCGCTTCCACGATACAATTCAAACTAACACGGAGATCGCCAGTCGTAACACGACTTTGAAGACAGCGCGCAGTACTTTCAAAATGATCATTAGCTAATTGACACGATTAGTTCATTCAAATTGTAAATAATATGCCAACGGGCAGAGTGTTATAGGCAACCCGAACGATATTTTAAATAATGCGAAACCGATCTCCGAGGGTTAAATCGAACGAATAATAGTAGTGCGTTAAATATTCCTAGTTTTACTGCCGTCTGTTGACTTTAAATATCGCAAACATGTGTGAGTGCAAATTAATGTTATTTTGTGCGGTTGTGTTGTACAATGTGATCCTGGTGACTCCTTTTAATATCGATAAATTCAATTATGCTGCTTACAAGAGCGACGGCGGGTCTATGTTTGGGTTCACCGTTGCGGTGCATAAGGACGGGGGGAACAGAGGATGGTAAGTTCGTTTTTGGAAATTACCCACCACCATTTAGTTTCTAATAATGGTTCCACTGTGATCGAAGATTGAAAAACTATTTATTTGCCGGCTTATCGCAATAGGCGCACTTTGGAAAAATGTTTTTCAGCTAAGCCATTGCATGTACCTGATAGATTGTTTATTCAGCTTTAATTTCCTTTTTTTTTTAATTTCGATTCGACCATTATTCATCGAAATATCGGACTTTTAATGGAAAAGGATCCGTTTGTCTTCAATCATCGACAAATGGCCGTACAGAGAATTGAGGAGCAGTTTCGAAAACTGTAATAAATGTCCTAGAACATGCTGCCGCAACTTTTAGGAATTTTTTTTTTTTTTCATTTTTTACAGGAATTTTAAAAAATTTATGGTTTTTTAGAAAATTGACGGCTAAATTAGAAATATTCACGAAATGACTAATATAAAGATTAATTTTTTCAGTTTGATATACCCAGAATAACCCTGTGAAATTTTTTGAGCTTAAACACTTCATGATCATGATTAAAATGGAAAAAAACAGTGACTTATCGAAATTGTCATGGTGTTATGGATACGTAGTTATTTCCAAAAAATATGGAGTATGTGTTAATAAATATTTTCTGTATTATCTTCATAACCGAGCATAATTTCGACTTTTGATAGGTACACTATACATTTTATGTATAGAATAAAATTCTCTACCTATTTCTGATAGTTGCGTGTAAAAATTTAAACGTACAAAAAAGTTACAGAAGAATATTCATAAAGGGTTGTAGTAAAATGAACAACCTGTATGATTTAACCCACTAGGAACATAATCACTGCATATTTCATGAAGAGAAACTAAGCAACAGCAAATTTCGCTCAAATCGGTTAACTGAGTTGTGAGAAAACAACAAATAAAAAAGAAACTTTAACACTGTAGATTTTTTGCGATATTTTTCGTTTAAGCGAGTTTGGTTAAATCGACACCATTTGGGTTCTAGATTATACCCTGATGTATGTGATATTCGTTAGGTGACGCCTTGTAAAATTTAGATTATTATATTTTTTTATAGAATTTCTGCCCACCAGAGCTTGAAAATTACAATTACATATCAATTCCTTAAAAAAAGCCAGCACTTCATCATTAATCGGTAATGAACATAAAAGAATGATCGAATTTTGGGATGAAGATATCCAAATGGTTTACAACGCAAATCTTTTCATATCATTTCATATAAATTAGCATGGAGAGGAGGAAAAGTGTCTTTTATTTCATTTAATTTTTCAGAGAAGAAACTGATAATCTGAGAAACTTAACCGGGTCGCATTAAATATAATCAAACCTCTAAAACTACACAAGGTTCCTGTCTGTCTGTACAAGAAATTGATGGAAAAAAAAAGGAAAATCACATTATGTATTGTTTTTAACTCCAAATCCAACTGGAATGAAACAAATTGCCCAGTTGCGAAGAATATCTTCTTATATATCTATCTATAATATCTTTGTTATTTAAATCCGCAGTTTTTCATATAGAAATTTACGCTAAACAAGTTAAAATATCTAATTATTCTGCAAACGTGACTGCTGTCTTAAATTTGACAAAAAGGGGGTTGAAGAACAACTTATTAAAATTACAGGGCACAGTATCAATGAATCAGTCAAACTTTATTTATATTTGGATGAGAGTATCATCGGGAGATGATGAGAACTATGAGAAAACCCATACATAAGACCAATAATTTTAATCATGACCAAAATATAGCAGAAAGATAACACTAAAACAAAAAATGGCGAGGTACAAACCATTTACTCAAAACCACCACAATCATTTAAACTAGTTGTGTTTTTAATGCTACTAATATTTGTAATAGATNCTTTTAATATCGATAAATTCAATTATGCCGCTTACAAGAGCGACGGCGGGTCTATGTTTGGGTTCACCGTTGCGGTGCATAAGGACGGGGGGAACAGAGGATGGTAAGTTCGTTTTTGAAAATTACCCACCACCATTTAGTTTCTAATAATGTCTCCACTGTGATCGAAGATTAAAATGAAGTAGTATAGTTATAGTACCGTAGAGATGTCTTTACATTATCTTGGAAAAAATGCATATTGACTCTTTAAAGTTTATACGAACTAAACTACGCTAATGCAAAAAATTAAAGGGTCAAAAGAATTTCCGAAATTTTTCCGTGATTTTTGACAGACTGTATTTAAGTGAACAATGGTCGTATCGAGAATTAAAAAAGAGCATTTTGATGCTCTAAGATTCTAGTTTTTTTAACGAAATTTCGGAAGTTCTTTTGACCCTTTAATTGTTTGGTTTAGTGTATTTGTTATAGATATTGAAACTGCAGATATTGCAGTTTATTAAAATAATGGTAAATGCTCATTTTTAACAAGGTGATTGATTTTCTTGTAATATTTGAACATGCAGTGTCTTCAATAATGCAATAATGCTGATATTATTTTTCTTTATTCCATTGAATTTTCACTTATAAAATCACGTATATTTTGAAAATTATCCCGAATGGAAGACTAAGGATAATTTTCCAAGAATATTCGTGACATTTTATAAGAAAATTTCACACCAAAATTGCGAATAAAATTAAAAATCAAAACTGACGTTTTGAATTCGATTCATTGAACTCAAAACGTAGATAAATCTATGCCGCAGATAATAGAAGTCTCGGCAAATAATATCAATTAGTAATTCGAAAAGATCAAGTTTAATACCTAAAATTACTAAAAAGTATAAAACAAGCATATGAAAACAGTGTGTCGAGTTCTGCAGTAAAAATAGATACAGAGTATCACCTAACGAATGTTACATACTGTTCGACAGCCTCAGGAAGTTCTTGCCGAAGGAATTCCAAATAGTTTTGACCGTTCAACCTTGCAGGTAGAGTGATATTCCCAAAAATACAATTTCCTATAATCCCGCACCAGATTTAACTGAAAAATCGTGTTGAAAGTGATGCTCTTTTATTGCACGTGGATTTTCTTCGCTCCACAAGTAAAAACACCTCTAAGGGTTTTCTTCTACCTTTTCCAGAATTTGTTCTTCGTCTTGTATCCTCTTTGAACGTACCTTCCATTTCGTGAATTAGAGCAAAAGTTTCTAGTTTCTCCTAATCTGGTGAATCAAGAAGCAAACAATGTATGAGAAGTCTGTCTGCGATTCGGATAAAGTTCTTCATATGTTCTCTTGGCAGCGCGTCCACTACAATGTTCCTGTCCTGTACATATACCACTATATTGTCTCTCATTTCATAATTCGTAAATTCATTGTGCCGATACATTTTCAGAAACAAACATTTGCAAAATACAAACTTGACAGTGACTTATCGAAATTGTCACGGTGTTGTGGATACGTAGCTATTTCCAAAAAATATGGGGTGTGAAATATTTTCTGTAATATCTTCATAACCGAGCATAATTTCGACTTTTCATGCATTTTATGTGTAGAATAAAATTTTCTACCTATTTCTGATGGTTGCGTGTAAAAATTTAAACGTACAAAAAAATTACAGACGAATATTCATAAAGGGTTGTAGTAAAATGAACGACCTGTATGATTTAACCCAATAGGAACATAACCACTGCATATTTCATGAAGAGAAACTAAGCAACAGCAAATTTTGCTCAAATTGGTTAACTGGGTTGTGAGAAAACAAATCAAAAGAGGAACTTTAACACCCTGTGGCGTTTTTAAGCGAGTTTGGTTAAATCGACACCATTTGGGTTCTAGATAACACCCTTGAAGTATGTAACATTCGTTAGGTGACACCCTGTGAAATTTAGATCAATACATTTTCTGATATTGAATTTGTGCCACCATCACCAGAGTGAAAATTACAAACACATAGCAATTCCTTAAAAAGACTTCATCATTAATCCATAAAAGAATTATCGAATTTTGGGATGAAGATATCCAAATGGTTTACAACGCAAATCTTTTCATATCGTTTCATATAAATGAGTATGGAGAGGAGGACAAGTGTATTTTATTTTACTTCATTTAATTTTTCAAAGAAGAAACTGATAATCTGAGAACCTAACAAGTGTCATTAAATACAATTTGTAACACTATGTATTAATACCATAATCGTTGTTATGGATATGGATTCTTAAATATTTCTTCTTTGAGTTGGCTTGTTTGGAAAAGTAGCAAATACTTTAAAACATTGTGATCTCTGGTGTTGTTATTTAAAAATGGATACACTGATGTAATACGTTCGTAATCTATAACGCGTATTATGAAATCTGATTTGTATTTACATTTTTATAGCTGCTTACCGATAGACCTGATATTTACATAAACCATACACAGGCATTGTTTTATTTACATTCTGTTTATCGCTTTGGCTGCTATACATATAATTTAAGATATTAGGACAAAAGTAAAGAACACCGTTGGTGTATTTTCTACGATAACAAATTTTCCGAAAAAACAATCGAAGTAGTATACTTATCTTTTTCTATATCAGTAGATACAATGCATACATTATTTCGCACAGAGATAACTCTAGTTTTCTATTTTATGTAACAAAATTCAGGTGAAATTATCAAAGAATTTGAAAAAAAAAATGCAAAATGAAAATTCTCGAGCTAATAAAACAAAGAATTAAAATAAGTATATTTTCCGTGTCTTAATACCGTAGCTATTCCAGACGAGTATATATATCACGAAAGATTCTTCTCTTACAACGTAAATATACATACCTCTCTGGTTAGTAAGATTACAAATGGACAGGTGCATATCAAATTCCACGTGGATGATGCATCAGAAAATGTACCAATCTAAGCAGTGGAAGGAACAAAGCTAAAATAATAGTTATTTGTGTTTTAAGGATTATAAATAACAGCGATCATTATGGTCGTGAATATTATAAAACGGCGAGTGTCATAAAGATGGTTTATGATCCGAATTAGATACATTTTTAACTTGATTTGCGGGTCCTCCGATATAGATGGAAGAGCTTAAAACGTTGTGGTTTCTCTTTTACCAGAAAAAGCACGAATTCTTTATGAGACTGTATTTACCCGTTAAAAGAAATGGTGTATGAAGGAAAGGTACGAAAAATATAATCCATGAGGAAGTTTTACAAACGTACAATAATTAATCCAACAGATACAACAAGAAAATTAATCACCAAGTTTAAAATCAGCATATACCATTAATTTATAGAACTGCAGTAACTGCGGTTTTAATATTTATGATAAACAGTTTAGGCCGAATCAAATTTCAAGGTTTAAATGCATTTTTTCCATATAGTGGTATAGTCTTTCCGAAGTCAGTTGAAGATGTATAAAAACGCCTAACAATAAAATTTAATAGATTTAAGTTCATAGACGTATCTAAAAAAGTTTTCTGCTAATTGTAAACAATTATAATAATTTGTATATATAATAATGTGTAGAAAATTACTATATGTTCATTTAGCCAACAACGTATTTTAATTATTTATGTCTTCAATTTTATTATATTGAATGGTAAATTTCGTTTTGTTCCGTTTGAAAAGGTCTCCAAAATGCCATGTTGTAACAATATTAGTGAACAAAATATCCCTCTAAACATACCTACCTAAATTATAATGCATTATGATATGCCGGCAGATGAATAGATTTGTCCAACAGTTGCACTTTTGTAGATGTTTTTTAGGTTCCCTTTGTTGTGACTAAAATCATTTTTTTTTGGTGAGGGGCTTTGGTTAACCACTGTTCAGAACCGTGAAAAACCGGTTCTCAATTATTTTTTTTGTTAAAAAATCACAACTTTTGGACGAAACTTCGTATGTATAACAAACTTATGTAAGAATTTTTTGCCACTGTTGTATTTCACTCATTTGTAATATAATTAGCCTAACCTAACCTATAATCAATATAATAGTGCCATTTTTTATTATTTTCTTAATTGAAACACAAGTTAACTTTGCATTAACATTAATTATTACAACATTAGAAAATAATAATCTACTGTATTGTAGAATCGAATAGAATGTAAAATTATATATGCTAAGGAAAAACAGTATTTCTAATTATTGGACAATTTTGTTCATTCATCGAAAAAAAATAATGACAAAATAACAGCATTTTGTTATCTATTTATTAGTAAATACACTAAATTATAGCAATAACATTATGTTCCCTCGAAAAATATCAGCCGGATGACGAACATCACACATTCCCGTTTCCCGAAAACCCATTAATCTAATTTCCATTTTAGTAGACGGTAATTTAGATAAAAAAAACATATTAACAAGTTGGCATTAATAGGTGGAATTTGGTTTCTCGGGACACGGAAGCGATAATAAATGAACCCTGCCTTGCTATTAGCCCTACCAAATGTTCCGCGTCCCTACAAGCATTTTGGATATTCATATCCGGTCGCAACAGCATCTAATATTATGACGACGGTCTCCGTTACGTGTAGACAATTATCCTAATGTAATTTCGTCGTTCCTAATTAGGCCAGGAAATATGGAATTGGACGCGACATTGTTTCGGCAAGCTGAATTTATCACTATAGATGGTAAATATTATGTACAATATCATATTAGTTTCCACCATAGGCGCCGCCTTTTAAAACTTTTGTCGGGTGCTCGGTTGCCCTATAAGCATTTTTTTGCCAGATAACATTAAAAAGTAAGAGAAATGAGTCGTCATTTGAAATAGCATGAGGTAAAAGATTTAAAATACGTATTTCTCGGAATTAGATTTTATGAAAAACTTTTTAAGAAATATATCGAAATTAATTAAATTTAAAAAATGAAATTAATTGAAAATAAATAAACTTTATTACTATTTCGATACAAATTTCAAAAATTTAACGATCTTAATAATTTTAACCAAAAATAAACTTCTATGGAATAACAAGTGAAAATATAAATATATGTACTATGTAGACGTAGGTAGCACAGAAATGGACCAAAATTCATGGGTAGATTCCCGAAGCAAAAATATTGCGATTTAGC